CAGGGAGCATCCAGGTCTCCTCCTTTCAAGGTGACCCCCCCCTTCCATTACTCTAGGTTTCCCTGAGCCTTGGACTCAACCTGCCAAGTTGTCCTAAGGGCCTGTCGCAGGCTCACAGTCCTGGACTTGGGAGCCAGAGATGGGGGCCCCCAAGTAGTTCTTGAAAGCAACAAAAATCAAATATTTCTTGTTATGCAGACTTTGGAGGTGGGTAGCTACTTTGAGAATTTGCAAGCATGGTGAACAAAGTCAAACCCAAGCCTCAGGATGCCTGAGTCATTCTGAAGGTGACTCTRTTCGCCACAAGTGGGTACAAGTGATGTAAATTCTGCAGGGGTTGTGAATGGTTTAATCAGAGTTTTCCAATGAGCAATTCCGTGGCATGGAATTGAGGGTTCCCCCGGGGGGAGATCTCTGCTTCACTTTCTCATCTCAGGTGTGTGGCTGCAGCTAAAACAGGTTCACAGGAAGGCTTCAGGCACCACACAACCAGAGTGCTGAGTGTTCCTACTTCCTCAGACTATTGAAGTCAGAAAATTCCTGCCATTCCTGAGCTTGTAGCAGAGACTCAGACCCAGTGACCTCCTTTTGTTCCCGCTGGGGGCTGCAGCCCCTCTGCAAGTTTAAACCCTTTGAATGAGCTCAGGCTTCCTCACAGAGATGCTGTTGCTATTGGTAGAGGAAAGGGGAGTAGAGGAGTGGGGAGATGACCCCAGAAAGGATCTAGAAGGTGACAAGAGAATGGTCACAATCTGCCCCAGCCTTCTACCATCCCTGGGAGGGGAAGAAAGTGAGAGAGTGTTCTCTGAGACAGACAGCAGAATAGAGGGGACCGGAGGGAGTAGGGAAGGGAAAGTCATTGTTTTAATGGGGACAGAGTTTTTGTTGGGGATGATGAAAACGTTTTGGGTATAGATAGAGGTGACGGTTAAAACATTGGAAACTGAATTTGTTTAATGCCACCGAATTGTACACTTACCAATAGTAAAAGTGATAAATAGGATGTTATTTTGCAACAACAAAAACCCGACAATAATCCTTTGTTCTCAGCAGTTCTTTTGAGATTGACTTCAAATAGACTGGCCCTCAAATCTATGAGGCTGCTTCTTTCTCAGATCATTAGACTTTGCTTTCGGCATAATTTCGAGAATTATGAATGACACAAATGATGGAAACTCATTTTATTTTCTTGAGTGTTCAAAATTCCTTCATCCCTACCCAATACTGTCTAATCAGAAGAGGCTTGTCTTTACCAAAAATCAGAAAAAAATAAAGGAAAAAGTACAGGCCACCATCTCTTGTGGGCTTCGGTTTAAGAAAAATCTCCAGTGAGAAATTTCAGATTTCGAAAACCATTTGGTGGTTGATTAYTTGCCTTACAAAAGACGGCTTCACTCAACAAAAGAGTTTACTCCAAAGTTCCTTTAAGAACAGAGCTCCTTAGGGTRTTTAATATTATTGGATTTTTAAAAATCACGCAGACCATTCAAGGACACGGCGCTGTAAATCCGTGAATGCATTGTATTGTGTTGTAAGAGGACTCAGGACTCTTTGACAAATGGACCATTTTGGCCCAAAGTAACACAAGGAAGGAACAGGATGAGTTTTCTTGGCCCAAAGCTCCTCGTGGAGCTTGTGTGATTTATTTAAGACCAGCTAAGCCCTGGGCCTGCGATGTGTCCATTTAGAGAAAGGGCCCGTGCCAAACTGAGGGTCAAAGTTCTCATTCTGCTTATGCTGACCCCTGTCACCTGCCCGAATCAAAAAAGGTTCTCAGATGTGAGCTCAACTCTGTCCAGTGATGGCAGAAAAAAATATATCTGTTGCCAGAAGGTGGATTCTCTGGTGTTGAAGAATGATCCTCATTTATGTCTGCATAGGTACATTCTGGGGCCCATAAAGGTTTAATTGTCCCTCTAACTAGTTTTTTAAAAAACCCACAAAGAGGCTGCCAGCTTTCCCCAGAGTTTAAAACCAACTGAATGCGGTTCTGTGGAAACTGCTTTAAGTGTGTAACTCGCGCCCGTGTCCCAGGGCACAAGGCACGATTGTTTTGGGGACTCCAGAGATGCAGCTCTCAGGAGGACTTTTGAAGTCAGTTTTTGTGACTGCTGCTGACCCCGGGTTGCTCTGCAAAGAGAGCGAGAGAGAAACTTCTTCATCCAAGRTTTCTCCCGTGGTACCACTGCCCCCTACTGCCACCTTCCGGTTCAGGGGATACCTCAGTGTCACAGGACCTTAAATGTCATTCCTTTTCTCCTGAGAGCTAGATATTTCCACAGAGGTTACTCATGCAAACAAACGTGATACCGAAATGTGATGAACGCTGTGAAGAAAAAGTACAGGGTGTTGAGAAAAGCTATCGGGGAGCCATGGAAGTTTCTCTGAGGAAGTCAGGCCTTATAAGTTAGATCTTCAGGATGAGAAGGAGTCAGGGAGGTGAAGGGGCTTTGTTTGAGCAGTGAGAAGCATGCTAGATGGAAGGACCAGTATGTGCAAAGACCCTGAGGCAGGAAGGAACAGAGCATGTTAAGATGCGGCTGGAGAAGTTGGCAACAAACACAGCTCCCAGAATCTTCTTTGTCCTCTACTCTGAGCCTCCTTTCCCTTAAGATTTGCGATGGTTTCCCCATCCATCACACATACTTTGCTTTAGGCTTCAAAGAGCCACCTCCAGACGGCCCCAAGATTACCTCCACCCTTCTCAGACTCCACTTGGGGTCTTGTGAAGAAAACACATTTGTCAAGCGACTAAAGCAAATAGTTTTGACATGTGGTTCTGTACCGTTAGGGAGGCCATAGTGAAGTCAATCCCAGTTTACATGACTCCAAATGGTTCCATTTAAATGTCCCACCCTGTATTTACACATCCCTACCACTTTAGTTGGCTGTTTATCTTCCAGTGTACTCTACTCTGCTTGTAGTCTAGGCCTCTATTTAACTCCATCCCTTACTTTTTCCATCTCACGACCTATCATTTACATTTTTTTCTTTAGGAAACGTAAATATTTATTTACAGCATTAGCTTTTACTCTTGCATTGCTCTATACATTACGGAGTAAACAGACTGTGATATGGGCTCTACTACTGAATTTTCCATAAACTGGTGGTGACCTTAGCCAAGTCATTTAACCTCACTGAGCATAAGATATGWCTTTGTAAAATGAGATGTTTTTCCTTTTTGTTTTAGCTAGCAGATCTGTATCCAAGATTTCTCTTAAAATCTGYGATTCTATATCTTTTACATCTTTTATCTATCCACCTCTCTTTCATGATGTCTTTGCAGGTCAKACTTTCTGTATAATTTGGTTTTGAGGGGTAGTGTTCACAGAATAGAATTTGACAAATGAGAATAAATCATACTATTGGGATTGGGTTTAAGCTCACATGTATGGGGAATGGTTGAACAGTAGAAAATTCTAGTTGCAGGCTTGAAATTCTCACAGATTGCTTTTCAAACTGGGGTATAGGTACCCACCCGGTACAGAAGCATGACAGTGAGTATAGGAAGCCCTTCTCTCTAGAAAAATAATCCTATTCAAAGATTTGAGAAGGGAAATCTCCCCCTCAAATATGCTTTGCATATTTGTATTAAACATGGATAGTATTAAAAAATACATGGATATATTATGAATAGAAGATAAAAATCACATGACCTCTTAGTATAAAAAAGGAGCCGTAGGCTTGACAGCTTTGGGATTACTATAGTGTGAACAGAAACACGTCTTTTACTTCTGTTTTTGAGTTGCTGGAGAAATACTTGCCTTATGGGTCTTTTGAGGTATGTGCACTTTAATAGGGTAAAGGTGTTAGATTACCAAGGAGGAACATTCCTGCTAAATAATTGACATATGTAGGAAATCCAATTTCAGCCAGGGTCCTGGAGGTTGAGGGAGAGTTTGGCTGGACAGAAGACCAAGTGAGTTACAGAATCTTGCAGTACTGGCCAAAGGCTGGGCTTGAACTGATCCAAACACCTGGATGATCTCTCCCCCCTCTATGTGACCTCCAGTAGACCTTGTTTGTACCCCAGCCCTGGTGCTTACCAKGCCATTAAATGTTAGTTTTATTTTCTTGCATGTAGGTTTCTCAGAGTCAGGCAGATGGTGTGAATTAAGAAAAAGTATGTGATCAAGAGCCAAGACCTTCTTACCTTGTGATTCTTGCTTACTCCCTGAAATCTCTCAGATCCCATTTGCTCACCTATTAAATGGTCCAATATAACACCTACCTTGCCTACTGAATAGCTAGGCTTGTGTTCAGAGCATATGGATTTGCAATGTAAAAGGACTGAGTAAATCATTAAACCAAAATCAGTGATTAACTAAGACCCCAAAGGGAAGGAGGGTATATCTCTCACATTATCTTTCTATTCCCCCAACCTCTAACTTTTGCCTGGTTAGTTCTGATAAGTATTAGTGATAAAAGATCATGAAATGCTGTACCTAGTCTGACCCTGGGAAAATTCTAATTTGTGTTCTCTGCTACCCCCAACTCTTTTTTCCTCTTCTATCTGYAGTTTCCCATTCCCATGTTCTGCACAACTTTCATCCCACTGACTATCCCTGAGAATTGGATATTAAGAGGACACTATTTCATTGATACAAATGAACWGTTAGGGGAATTTCAGGCATCATTAGGGAGAGTTTTACAGCAATCCTTTTTTGTGGGGGGCAGGAACAAATTGGTATTACTTTATAAGCTTTCTCCCAGACATTAAAATGCCCAAACAGAATCCCGGATTTTTTTTAAAGAGAAATTAACTGCCCAGTCTAAATACCTCTCTCATAATAATGAAGCGACTATTTACTGAAGTGGCTGGTGGACRTACATTCTTCTCAAGAGCACATGGAACATTCTCCAAGGTAGATCTCATGTTAGGGCATAAAACAAKGCTTAGTAAATCTAAGTCAAGTATATTTCCTGACCACAGTGGTATGAACTAGAAATCAGTAACAGCATGAAGGCCAGTCTGCCTCACAATTGATCCTCTAAGCGAAATGTCAGGAAAGGGCAAGGAGGAAGGAGAAGGTTAGTTTGAGATATTCTTTGGGTGAACGGTAACTTTCTTCCTTTCTTTCTTTCCTGGGATTGAACCCAGGGGTGCTAAACCATTGGGACACATCCTTGGCCCTTTTAATATATATATTTTTAAATATTTTCTTTAGAGACAGGGTCTCAATGAGTTGTACAGGGCCTCGTTAAGTTGCTGAGGCTGGCTTTGAACTCTCAATCCTCCTGCCTCAGCCTTCCAAGTGTCTGGAATTATAGACATGCACCACCACTTCCAGCTAATTCAGTTTCTTAGGCGATACTTTATTTTTTTAAGTTAAAAAACAAAAACAAAYAAGCAAACAAAAATACCTTTTATGATAAGAAATCAGGTCAGTAACGGAGAGGGGTGGGAGAATGTGGAGTGGAGATGTCATTTTCAATTTCTCTCCCCAAGGGGCAGGGATTGGGGGAAGGGGAGACACTCCGGGTCCTCGCATCATTCCAGAAACCACAGATCAGACTCAGAATCAGGAGTGGACGGTGATCTGAAGCCAAGGAGCAGGAGGGCCGGCCCCAGGTCTCAGGGGAGCCCCGGGCTAGCCATCTTGCAGGAAGAGCCTGAACGTCCTAGCCCACCTCCCATCCTTACAGCTTTGCAGATGACTGACCCCGGGCCAGGATCCCGTCCCTGCCATCGCAGGGGGCGGAGGGTGCACTGAAGCAACAGCCCTCCTGGGTGTGGTGGTGCTYCTCCGGCGTGTGCACAGCCTGGGGGAAACCCACAGACTGCTCGCCCCTAAGTAGTTCCAGGTGATCTTTTCGAGCGGGGGGCCCGAGCGGGGTCGGCCTGGTAACCGGCGGCCTCGCAGGCGTCGAACTGGCGAGGGAGCACGAGCCTGCAGCTCCTGCCTYGGCGGGTTGCGGGTGGCCAGCGGCCGGTGCCCCGCCCGGTTGCCCCGGGCGACCCGGACGGTTTGTTTTCGGAGCGGGACCCTCCCACGTGCGCCCCTGGCCAGCGGCGGGGGCGTGCGCCCGGTGGGCTTCGTTGTCTGCGCGTCTCCGCGCGGCCGCCCCCGCCCCGCCACCCCCGCCGCGGTGGTTCGKTCCGGGCCGCGAGGCAGGAGGCGRCCACCGGAGCCGACGCCAGAGTGGGCGGCCAGCGGCGGGGAGAAGGTGAGAGGCTGCGGCCCAACCCGAGCGGGGCGCCCCGGAGAGGTGGTCCCCGGCGGCCGGCGGAGAAAGGGGCCTGGCCGCCCCGCTGCCCGGGGCTCCTGGTCTCAGCCCTGGGCTGGCCTGTCCGCCTGGGCGCCCCAGCTCCTGGAGGCTGGTTGGACGACCCCCGAGGAAACTCTGAAGCCGCYGCCCGGGCCTCAGGACCCCCTGGGCGGTTGGGGAGCCCCCTCCCCGTCGCCAACAGCACACCATTTCTCCCCCACCCAGATACCACCAGCAAAATGCCCGACATCAAGGAGAATGTGCCCGCAAAAGAACCTGGCAGCGGCTCCTGCGAGCCCGAGTCCTCAGAACCGACCCAGGAAGACGAGAACAGCTCCCAGGACAACCCTTCGCGTAGGTCCAGGTCCCCGAGACCCTTTGGGGTGCCCCGTGTGGGTCCGGTCGATCGCAGGGAGCCTGCCCCCTGCGCTGCAGCGCCGTTGAGGGGACCGCGTTGAGGGAGCCCCAGGTGCGCTCTGGCGCCCTCTTCTCCCCCCTGCGCCTGTCCCTGTCCCTGTCCCTGTCCTGTCTTCACTTACAGGCCTAGGCCCTGGGTGGACTAGARGGCTTCAGAGAGTCACATCCCGAGAAAGAAGCCACGTGGGATTACTTGAATCTAAGATTTGAGGCTGAGTCAGTTCTAAGCCATCTTTGGAACTTGAGTGGAAAATGACAGATATCTGGGGTTAATTTTTTTWAAAAAAACCTCAAATTCCCTAGATGGGAATTGTGTTTTTTAGGTACTTTGTTGGCCTGAAGTGATGCTGTCCTAGGCTCATACGCAAGCTCTGCACCCTGTAGATAGGTGTCCTTTGGTGTTCATATCAGGTCACCAGGTCTCTTCCACACTAACCGATACGTCAAACCTCTTGGAGTCTCAAGCCATCAATTTGAAGGGCTGCCCACGTGCAACAACTTGAGCTAAAATTCKTGAAGATGGACAATGGGAAAATTTAGTTCGCACTGAAGTTAAATTAGACTCGTTTCTCTTATGACCACTCGGGGTCGCTGCTGGTTAACAAACGCACCAAAAAGGCGCACTGGCGCGCGTTGGACAGATGGGTCCTGATGGGCGAAAGATTTTTTTTTTTCTTACAGTGATTATTTAAACTAGGTTAAGTTACTAGTTATTTTATTTTGAAAAATTCTTTGTCCTTGGAATTGTTTTGGTTTGTTTGTATTTTGGTACCAGGGATTGAACTCAGGAGCACTCGACAACTGAGCCACATCCTCAGCCCTATTTTGTATTTTATTTAGAGACAGGGTCTCATTGAGTTGCCTAGTGCCTCACTTTTACTGAGGCTGGCTTTGAGCTTCCTGCGATCCTCCTGCCTCAGCCGCCGGAACTGCTGAGATTACAGGTGTGCACCACCGCCCCTGGCAGCATCTGGATTTTTAAAAATCTATTTTAGTCACATTTTTATCTCTAATTATTCTTGAGCCCTCTTTCCTGAATCTTAGAGCGTTCCTAGAGTGGCTTAGTTCTGTACCTGTGAACAACTGAATAGTCTTTCAATGGGGGAAAATCCTTTAGTAAACTATTGTGGCTAATTTTCATTTAGCATTATAATTTAGCAGAGATTCTGCATATTTGTGTTATGCCATTTTGACTGGAACTTTTTCTTAAGAGAAGCTGTAAAAATCGAGGGAATTTCGCCCACCCACTTGATGGTTCAGCTCAACTTTGTTCACCTAAGACTGAATTTTTTTTATAAATGTCTAGAATCACATTTTCCCCTTAACTTTTTTGTTTGAAATATTTCAAATTTGTTGAAAGTTAAAAAAGTGAACACTTACATTACTTCTCTCCGATATTGCTTTTTTTTCTCTCCATATCTGTGTTTTCTCCCCTATACTGTCCCAGAGATCTACTTTACCTCTAAAACTTTATCATGTTTCTAAGAAAGGCACTGTCTTGTGTAAATTCTTTTCTATAATAACTTTTCTTTTTACATTTTAAAATCTTTGACTATAGGAAATTTTTATAAAAGCAGAACTAATATAATGACCCACCTCCATTTATCCATCACCCAGCTTCAACAGTTATCAGTTCACAGCTAGGGAGGCTRAAGCAGGAGGACAGCAAGTTGGAGGYCAGCTTCAGCAATTTAGTGAGACCCTGGCTCAAAATAATAAAAAAATGGCTGTGAATGAAAAGGTTCATTGGTGGAGGGCCTCTGGCTTGAATCCCAGTACTGCAGTGAAATGGACAGACTAGAACTGTGGTTTCCAAATGCTGGTGCTGGTCTGTGACAAGATTCTCAGCAATGTGAAATTATTATTAGCCCAAGGCATAGTAGTGCATGCCTATAATCTCATCTACTTTGGAGGCTGAGGCAGGAGGATCACATGTTTGAGGCCAGCCTTCAGCAATGTAGCAAGACTCTTTCTCAAAAAATGAAAAGGGCTGGAGATGTGGTAGAGTGACCCTCAATAATCTGTACTAAAAAAAAAAAATAATATATATATGTACATATATATATGATGTTATTGGCAATGAAATCATAAAGATATTGTAATGACTTTTCCTAAAACTAAAAGTGAAATTGATTCAGCTTTAATTGCTCTTTATTTTGACAATTTTTTTTTTAGATTAAATGATCCTTTCTTTTACAAAATAATTTTAGCATACTAGAGGGGAATTTTTCACATTTATTTATTTATTTTTAGTTGTACATGGGCACAATATCTTTATTTTATTTATTTTTATGTGGTGCTGCTAGGCAAGCGCTCCGCCACTGAGCGACAGCCCCAGGCCATAGAGAGGAATTTCCATTGCTTGTTTTTGCTTGCCCATAGTTGGTAAAATAAAAGTTGGAAAGTTGTGGGCAGTTGCTTAAAATCTTTTTGGAAATTTTATTACTCTGTGAAATTCTAAAATCTGGGAACTACTGCCTTAGAAGACTAATTGACACTGGCACTGTTCAGGGACATCTGAGTGTCATTTCCAGTGGGAATCTGGCTTTCATCTTTGGCAGGTAGCAGCAGAGGCAAGAAGTGAAAGGACTTTAACACATCAGTGTTTATTCTTACAAATCATAAGTTGTTTCTTTGCAGTTTTATGATTTTACTTTTTTTTTTTTTTTGAGGCACTTGGAATTGAACCCAAGGCTTCATACATGCTAGGCAAGCACTCTGCCTCTGAGCTACATTGCCAGTCTTTTTTTTCCATTTTMTTTTGAGATATGATCTTGCTTAGTTTCTCAGGCTGGCCTCCAGTTTGCAATCCTCCTGTCTCAGCCTCCTAAGTAGTGTGATTTTAAGAGAATGAGAGTGTGATTTTTTTTAAAGAGAAGTTTTTAGTTAGTTTCACTTAATTTTTTTTTTGAGAGAGAGAGAGAGAGAATTTTTTTAATATTTATTTTTCAGTTTTCGGTGGACACAACATCTTTATTTTATGTGGTGCTGAGGATCGAACCCAGTGCCCTGCGCATGCCAGGCAAGCGCATTACTGCTTGAGCCACATCCCCAGCCCTAAATTTTTTTTTTAAATTTCTCTCTCTCTCTCTTTCTATTTTTACATGGTGCTGAGGATCAGACGCAGTGCCTCACATGTGCAGGCAAGCACTSTACTACTGAGCTACAGCCCCAGCTCTCACTTAATGTTTTTTAATAAATTGGCCTCTTTATCTTTTCCTTTCCCCTTTTGTTGGACTACCCTAAGAGTTTCCAGCACTGTCATGGGGCAGGGAGTTCATAAAACATAAATAACTAGTATGTGAGTGAATCTGTTATTATAACTTTGAGGCCTACTACCTTGAGCGAATTTCTGAATAAAATAGAAATTCAAACTCTCGTGGGTTCACTTTTGTCCACCCTAAGTACTTTCAGTTTCAGATCTGACAGAGACAATCAATGAAGTTTCCAAGATGAGCAGTGRGATTGGATTGAATCGTGATTTCCATGGGGAGGAAAATTTGCCTTCAAATAGGTATGGATTATCCTGCTTTCTCCATTTGGTTCACCCGGCATCAGGGTTTAGCACTGATGGCTTCTGTCCAGACTCAAAGCATTTTTGGTAACGATACACTTAGCGTTTGTGTTATAATACAGAAGATCAAGCCGTAATAGCATTATTAGTAAGAAGCAAATGTTATTTAACCAGCAAATAAACGGAATAACTAGCTGGGTGCATTTCAGATCTTCTCTGACAGACTTGAGGAAGGAGCCTGGCGCTCAGCAAGCTTGGGGTTTGGGAGCATTTTTTGATTTCAGACTGAGAGTGTTYAACCCGAATCATGGTTTAGAGAAGAACATTCACATCTCAAGAGCACAGAGAAAKAATGGGAGGGTTTCCAAGGAGTTTGAGGTGTGTCAAAGGAGGATTTAAAATGGATGTCAAGGTAACAGTCTTAGAAATTCATCACAGGATTTTAAGATGAAATACAGAGTCTAGAAGAAAATCCAGAAGCCTATACAACACAACCAGCTGAATGTCAGAAAGTTGCCCATTAGTAACTGTTTTAGTTGTAGATGGACACAGTACCTTTATTTATTTATCTATCCTTTCTTTTATGTGGTGTTGAGGATGGTGGAACCCTGGGCCTCTCACATGCTAGGCAAGCGCTGTACCACTGAGCCACAACCCCAGCCCCAGATAGGAGGCTTTCAGATTTAACTTGTTTCTTAACTGGATCAATGAGTTCAGAGCACAGCCATTAACCAGTAGGACCAACCAGTAGGATTCGCAGCTTCTGGGGCCTGGCATTCAGAATCTTGGGTCTCAGAGCAGAGGGGAAAGCCAGGGGACTGGTCTGTGATGTGCTTTTCCTGTAGACCTCATGGTCAGGGCGACTGTCCAAGGCCAGCAGGGGACCCAGCACCCACCAGCCCACGGGCAGCCCATCTCCTCAGAGGGTGGGGGTAGGGGGGTGGTGGTGGAGRGGTGACTGGGTTCTAACAACCTCTTGTGTTCACTGTTTCTAACATCAGCCTGTGGCTTTGGCTCAGAGGTCTCAGCCAATGGCCAATGATTTTTTTGGGGGGTGGGGGCAGTAAGTTGACATTTGCTGCCAATTTTTATCTGACCCAGTGAGAAATCTGAGGTGTCTGAGGTGTCTCTTACACAAAGAAACAAAATGGACAGAAAGCCACAGTTGGCCCCTGCAGTGATGACCACTCACTGGAACTTTGTTTCCTCTGAACTGGCATCTTGTGGCCCTGAGCTAGGAGAACCCGGAGGCCAAGGGCCCTCTTAGAGCATGAAGTGACCCTTGGTACCCCCAGACCCAGAGATCAGGGAGACCAGTGCCTAAAAGAGCTTCAGATCTGAGAGGAATCTACTCATGACTTTGGGGGCTCCATGAGGAAGACAGAAGACCCCCAAAAGGGGAGGCACCTTACCTGCCTTCTTCAAGGGGTCTCAGGGTCACCAGACCTCTCCTTCAGCACCTTCCTAGAGGGACCAGAGCCCACCCCCGTGTTTCCTCTGGTAGATTTTCATCCACTGACCCCCAAATAGAGGGGCAGGGCTGACAGGGGAGCCTTAAAGGGAACTGGATGGAGGATCGGAGGTGKCAACAGGAGGAGGAAATGCAAGGATCCAGCCTCAGAGAAGCCAGTGTGGGGAGAGGAGTAAATGATCGGCAGGTGTTCAGAAAACAGAAGGTTAAAAGCCGAATATTTTCTCTGATAACTGGATGCTGATTCTTAGTGGGGGGAGGGCAGCAATGAAGGCAGTCTGGTTTGTGTAGAGGGGAGTGAGGGAGGGATGRGGCGGTGGGATGGAAAAGACAGAGATTGAGACAGACTGTTACCCTCTACGCATGCACGACTACACTACTGCGGTGCGTCTGCACCAGGTACAGCCAGAGGAATGAGAAGTTTGCTCCACTTGTGAACAGTGTGTCAAAATGCGTTCTACTGTGGAATAAATAAATAAACAAATAAATAAAAAACAGGGGTTCAGTTGACTGAGAAATTTCCATGGGAGAGCAGGAGCCTATAGAGAGAGAAATGTTACAAAAATGATACCCTGAACATCAGCCTTTAATTGACCCAAGTTTAGATCATAGAGCTCTTTTTAAAAACCTTTTTCCTTCTTTTTAAGTACAGGACAGTTCTGTTTTTAATATCCTCATTCTTAAATATCTGTAAACCTTGAAGGCAAACAGGGAAGTTTCTGTAGTTGATGAGAACAATTGGTGGASTTTGAGTTGCTTGTAGAATCACACTTATGTCTTTATAAAAATTCAAGTTGCGGCTGAGTGCCGTGGCGCACGCCTGTGATCCCAACTGCTCAGGAGGCTGAGGCAGGAGGATTGCAAGTTTAAGGTCAGCACCTTAGTGAGTGCCTGTCTCAAAATAAAAAATAAAAAAAGCTATAGCTTGGTGGCAGAGTGGTTGCCCAGCATGCATGAGACCCTGGGTTTGATTCCCAACACTTGAAAAAAAAAMGTCGCAAGGCAAGGGGGATTGACATTAATTTTTTAAAATTTGGGTTGCAGCCTCCTGTAATGAAGGGGCTGACCCATCTGTCTATCATCTTTCATATCAGAGAGCAGATTTCCAACTAAGATGGAAAAAAGATTTTTCTCTGCCCAACATAGAGCTATTTGAAGTGTCTGAATACACCAGTTTCTTTCTCTTTGAGTGTATGGTTCCATTGTTGCTTAGGAGAGAAGGAAAAAAAATCCTTATGCTCAGAATAAAAGAATTCCAAACCAACAGTACATGTTCAGGTGACTCAAGGCACAAGTATAAATCAGATTATTTTTTACTCGAGACCAAAACCAACAAAATTTTTTATGACTTTTCCCAAGGTCTTCAGAAGAGGGAGGAAAAGATACGACCCTTTCCCGAGGCAGACCATTTGCAAAGATGGGCAAGAAGAAGGAAGAGCTGAGACAGCTCAGTGGTCGGTAGGCGGCGGCCAGGGTTCCCGCCTGGTGGGTGGCCGCCTTCCCACAGACCCCAGATACACTGACCCATYGAGGAACAGTAAAACAAGAAAAGAAAAGCAGAGGAGGAAAGAACCCCTAACAAATGAGAACCCCAACAGCCGAGCATCACACAGATTCAAAACAAACAATTCAAACTAATTTTTCTTCAGATGTTTTTCTCCTGAATTTAAGGAATTAATTTACTGAAGAAATAAGAGTTAGATTCAATGGAGTAGAAGTTTAAACTAGGGACTCAGAGATTCAAAAGGTCTTCTGATTTAAAGAATTTTAGCCTGGTGTGGCTAAAATTAGCACGCCTGTAATCCTGTGACCCGGGAGGCTGAGGCAGGAGGATCATAAGTTCTAGCCAGTCATAGCAACTTAGTGACACCCTGTCTCAAAACATCAAAAGGACTGGGGATGTAGCTCAGTGGTTAAGCACCTCTGGGTTCAATCTGCAGTACAAAAACTAAAAAATATTTTTAAAATTTGTTCGATTAATTAATTGAAATAGGGTCTCACTAAAATGCTAAGGCTGGCTTCGAATTTATGATCCTCCTGCTTCAGCCTCCCAAGTTGCTGGGATTATAGTCATGTGCCTTATCCAGCCATTTTTTAATATGGTGACATTATTATCAGACAGACCTAAGATCAACCTAAAGGACAATCCTCGGGACTGAATGTATTGTCTGATGGTAAGAGGGACCTGCTACATAGTCTTCATCTTTCCCCATTGTTCATTTTCTTATTATTGAGTTTTAGGAGTTCTTTGATCATTTTGGATACATATTCTTTATCAAAGACCATCTCCAGTCTGTGGCTTGTCTTTTCATTTTCTTGGTAATGTCTTTCACAGAGCAGAAGTTTCTAATTTTAATGACTCCCAACTTACCAATTTTTCATTTCCTGGATGTTGTTTTTGGTACTGTCTCTAAAAATTGATCATGAAACCCAAGGTCACTTAGGTTTTCTCCTGTGTCACCTTCTTGAAGTTTTATTGTTTATTGTTTTACTTTTAGATCTGCACTCCACTTTGAGTTAACTTTTGTGAAGGGCATAAAATCTGTTTAGGTTAATTTTTTGCATGTGGATGTATGGTCATTCCAACACCATTTGTTGAAATAGTTCTCCTTTCTCGGTTGAATTGCCTTTGTGTGTATATATTTTATACTTTTTTCCCCTCAGGGATGAGGACCGAACTCAGGGTCTTGCATGTGCTAGGCCAGTGCTCTGCCACTGAGCTAAATCCCCAACCCCTCGCATTGTGTATATTTTTAAAGTAGAAAAAAAAAAAAAAGGCCACTCTCTCTAGTTCCCTTGACTGTTTAGATGGTAATGCCATTGAGCCTGGGAATTCAGAGGGAATAGGTGTGGGAGGGAAAGGCGGGGATTTTGTTTTAGACCTGCAGATGGGGAGATCCTCTGACCGTCAGGTGTTTATCAAAGAAGGAAAACTTTTTCCCAGATTAGGAGTCTAAGAAAATGAAAGATCAATTTCATTTAGTGCCATATATAAACACAYGCACACACTCACACTCACACTGAGTCACATGTCTAGGCAGAGTGCACAACAGCGCCAAAGCAGCCTGACTTCACCTTAGTCAGCTCTTCCTCCTACAGAGGGGGCTGCTCTGGAACCAGCTGAGCCCTCCGAGAGGTTTCGTGATGCCCTTGAACTCTGTCTCACGCAGCTTGTTCAGCTCTGCTGCAGCCAGACAGAGTCCAGGCATTTTCTTGTCCCTATCATCAAGTTTTTCCATGTCAAATACTGTTTGGGGCTTAGGAATTATTATTCTATACCTATGTTTTTGGGTAGATAGAGTGATTCTCTCTTTTAACCTATCACAGTTCGGAAGGCAAGGTCAAGGAGACAATGCACAATGACTTTTGGGACCATCTTAAGGAACAGCTAACAGCTACTCCCCCTGACTTCAGTTGTGCTCTCGAACTTCTGAAAGAAATCAAAGAGGTGAGTGACTTCCATTTGTAAATAGAAAGTTCCCAGATATCCTGAGCTAATACTGAGTATCAATGACTASCAAATCCTAACTGAACATGGTCCATGAATCAGTCACACGGAAATTTGAACAGGAATGGTTTAATATCAAAATAACTGTGACAACAGAATTAGAGAAATGAGGGTGCTTGCCAGAATTTCATTCCTTTTTATGGCTGAGTGATATTCCATGCTTTGGATAAACCACATTTTCTTTATTCATCAGTTGATTGACATGTTTGCTTTTGTCTTTTGACTACGGTGAATAATACTGTTATCAACATTGGTATACAAGCATCTATTTGAATCCCTGCTTGGAATTCTTGTAGGTGGATGCTTAGAAATGGAATGGCTGGATCATATGGTAATTTTATGGTTGACATTTTGAGTAACTGCCAACTCCTCCACAGCAGCTGTACGTTCCCACCACCGTGCACCAGGGTTTCAGTTTCTCCACGTCTTCGCCAACACTTTACATTTTCTTTTTTTTTCCCCTTGGTGTGTAATACTGAGGGTTAAGCCCAGGGTGATTTTACCACTGAGCTACATCCCAAGCCCTTTTTATTTTTTTATTTTGAGACAGGGTCTTGCAAAGTTGCTGAGACTGGCCTTGAACTTGTAATCCTCCTGCAGCAGCTAGGGTTACAGGCATGCACCACTGTGCCTGGTGCTGTGTTCTAGTTTTTTGATCATAGCTTTCCTAATGGGGGTGAAACATTATCTCACTGTGGATTTCACTTGCACCTATTCATGTACTTACTGGCCATTTTTACATCTTTGAAGAAATGTTTACCCAAGTCTTTTGCCCATCTTTAAATGGGGTTGTTTGCCTWTTTGTTGCTGAATTTTAGGTGTTCTTTACATATTCTAGATACTTGATCTTTGTAGATCTATGACTTGCACATTAGCAAGTGCTCTTCCACCAAGCCACACCCCAGCCCTTCCTATGATCTGTTTTAAGTGTTTTTAGATCTTTGATCCATTTTGAATTATTTTTTAATAAATAACTTCATTCAGCTTCATTCTTTTATGTGCAGATATTTTTTTCTTTTATATGCAGTGTTTTTCCAATACCATTTGTTGAAAAAGATGTTCTTTCCCCATCAAATGCTCTTGGCCTTGCTGTTCAACATCATTTGACCATGTTTCCTTCTGGGATCTCTCTCTGTTGGTCTACTTGTCTGTCCTTTTTTCCATTATATGCTTGGTTGCTTATGGGCCATTTTATTTGATGATGTATTCCTGTTGTGCTTGTCCACTGAGATTGGCTGGGTCCGTCACACAGCACCTAGCTCCTGGTGGGAAGCTCAGCCCTATGGTCACTTGATGCCATAGGCTCAGTGGTGAGCCATTTCTCAAAAGGCAGATAGTTATCTGCAACAGAGGGTGTCGATGTGCTTTAGAATCCCAAAGGTCTATGTTGGGATTCTCCTACGGTTGCCTGCGTTTCTTCACAGCATCCTTGATGACCATGGACACTTAGGATGCCATTGGATCTCCTGGGTCRTAAGACCCAGGCTGTAGAGTGGCTTGTGCTGCAGTCTGAACTTGCTGCAGAGGCTGCTSTTGCTCTGCCACTCGCTGGAGATTTGTAACCTTATGAGTGATTCTAAACGAGTCAACTCAAATCTGGTGTATGTATGTTGCCTCAAAAATCCAGAAAAGCCTACCAAGTGCGCCTCTGTTGTGATGGTAGTGGTTTGAAGGTAGCAACTTGTTACTTGTTTTTGTCTCGGAGGGAATACCTGATAAGCCCAGACCCCTGCAGCCATGGAAACCAGAGGTGTGCCGGCCTCTGAGTCTGTGTGTGGGGGCGGTCTCCGTCTTCTGGTCTGCATCACCTCTCTGAGGTGTCTGAAGCGCTCACTGCGTCCTGCTCATGGAATCCAGGGGCAAGTGTTGGAGTTCACATCTCACTTACGGGGCTGACTTGTTGGTTAGTCAGGGTAGGGTAGGGGGCAGGAAGCAGGCCTGGTTTGAACAGAGACGCTTCTGTGATGTAGGAAGTTGCTGGGAGGAGAGGGCGGAGCCAGGGAGGAAGGCCCTTCCTCCTGAGAATCCCTTTGGTGCCCTCCATGCACCGCAGCCTCCCAACCAGCAAAGGACCAGCCCCATCTTCTCAGAGCAGGCGCTGCAGGGCTGGTTTGGAACCGTCTCCAACGGGTAACTGTCCTAGCTCGACCGTCAGGGTGGGTGGTGTGAGCAGCTGGACGGGACCTGCTCTGACTACACAGCGCTCCCCTGGATGAAGCCCGGGGCCCAGGCTGCGCCACGGTGTGTGTTCCAGAGGCAGAGAGGTGGATTGGAATCCCTGTCCACCAGGAACCTACATTTTTGGGTTAACAGGCGACTTTAGGTGCCGCGGAACAGCTCCCTGGTCTGTTTGGTCACTGCCTCTCCAGGAGGCCTCCCTGTACAACTGAATGGTCACATCATGCGATGACATTTGATGTTTGTTGTACTCTGTACTTTTTAATTACACTCCTTAATTTTATTCATCTCTTTATCCCATTTTGTGTAGAAAATGATACATTATTGCTATAATTGGTCCCCTTAAAATTTGAATTATCATTGGCCTCTAAACAAAGATAAATAATATCCTATGAGGAATTTAGGGGCTCAAATTGTGTTCCTCAAAAGATGCAGGCTGGGATCCACCTTTTGGCCATCTCACCAAGCAGTTACAGGGTCTCGTCACATACGCAGGAAGGAGAGACACAGGAGGGCAGGAGAACAGAGGAGGCCCAGGACGCCCACCTCCTGGGGTACCAGGACACCAGCTATGGCCCTTCTCCCTCCTGGGAGAAATCTGTTACCCCTTTTAAAATAAACCCTGCTTTATATGCTTAAAAAAAAGATATAACCTGGAGGGCTGGGGCTGGGGCTCAGTGGTAGAGTGCTCACGTGAGGCCCTGGGTTCGATCCTCAGCACCACATGTAAATAAATACATAAAAMAAAGGTGTTGTGTCCATCTACAACTAAAAAAATATTTAAAAGTTCCAGGCTGTCCCTGGCTAAAGGGGTGGCGCAGGGCTGGGATGTGGCTCAAGGTAAGAGATTTCCCCACTGGGGAGAGTTGGGGCTCTGAACAGAACYGGACTCCTCTTGACCTCTGTCCTGGGCAGATCTTGCTGTCACTGCTGTTACCGCGTCAGAACCGCCTGAGAAGTGAGATTGAAGAGGCTCTGGACATGGAGTTGATCAAGCAGGAGGCAGAACACGGAGCCCTGGACGTCCCTTACCTTTCAAAGTACATCCTCAACATGATGACTCTGCTGTGCGCTCCAGTCCGGGATGAAGCCGTACAGAAGCTCGAGAACATCACCGACCCCGTTCGGTTACTGAGGTGTGAGACCCATGCTGACCCCCAAAACCTGCTCCAGCCCCAGCCGGGGAAAGCGGAGCCAGACACGGGTCATAGCCATCGTCTGGGCCGACTCTTCCCCGCTAAAGACCTAATACCCCTGTTCTCCTCTTGGGCTTTGTGGTTTTTTCCTTTTCCAAAGATGGCCTCATCGTGGCCTTGTCTGTGGGGGACTCCGCTGTGTGACATGCTACCATAAGACAAAATCCTCTCTCCTAAAGAGTGAAGCCATCTGTTCCCCAGGTTTTCTCTTGCCCATTTCACATAGTCTAAGGGTCAGTGGTGGATAGCTGAAGGAACTAAAGAACCGAGACCCAGGAAGAGAGAAAAAAAGAAGCTGCCGTTGGCCCAGAGAGTCAAAATAGCATCCCCTGTAATCCCACTGCGCGGAGGACACCCCTGACAAGCTGTTCCCTTCCCTGCCCACCCTCTGTAGGCGACAGCAGAATGACCACCGTGGGAAGAGACTGAGCTCTTCCTAGTTGTGCCACTCCCTCCCTCTGGGCTTTGGTCGTGTCCCGGGTCTGTAGACGTAGGAGGTGGGACTGAGTGGGTCCTAAGACCTCCCTGATCCCAGAGAACAGAGACGTCATGACCCCCGCCCGGGTGGGCGTCCCTCACTCGATTCCCTTCATGGTGTCACTCTTCTGTYTCCCGTGTCAGAGGGATCTTCCAGGTCCTGGGCCTGATGAAGATGGACATGGTGAACTAYACCATCCAGAGCCTGCAGCCACACCTCCAGGAGCACTCCATCCAGCTGGAGCGGGCCAAATTCCAGGAACAGCTCAACAAGCAGCCCAGTACGTGGGGGGAGGGAGGGGAGCTGATGAGACCTTCCCYAGCACAGTCGGACTCTTTTTAAGAATAGAAAGTTTCTCCCTCAGGTAAGGGGAGGGAGAAGGAACTTGAGTTGAAGACAGAGACCCCAAAGTACTTACTTACTAACCAGGACACTTTGAAAGGAACCTTGGTCTTCAGGCCCCAGAGGAAAAGGTGCCAAGGTGTTGTCACACCCCCCCCCCCCCCCCGCCCCAGGTCTCCTGGACCACACCACCAAGTGGCTGACACAAGCAGCGGCCGACCTGTCCACTCCACCCTCCGCGGCCCTCGACCCGCCTGACTCTTCCAACGTGGCGGGCCCTGCGCCAAGTGAGGCGGCCAGCAACTTGGAGCCCCTGAGCCCCACGATGGTGCTGTCCCAGGGCTTCCTGAACCTCCTTCTCTGGGACCCTGAAAACGAAGAGTTCCCGGAGGTAGGAATGTGGCGGCCTGGCCTGGGTCTGTCTGTATTCTGGCCWTCTGTCGCCATCATGCTCTCCTGAGTGACCGCTGACCTCTGCTCCCCAGACCCTGCTGATGGACAGAACCCGGCTGCAGGACCTCGAGTCCCAGTTGCACCAGTTGACCATCCTGGCCTCGGTCCTGCTCGTGGCCAGCAGTTTCTCTGGCAGCGTTTTGTTTGGTTCGCCCCAGTTTGTGGATAAACTGAAACGCATCACCAAGTCCCTGATGGAGGAATTTAAGACCAGGTGAGAGTACAGTGAATCACTGCTTCCTGCCCACCACAGACCACAGGCCCTCAGGGGCCACCCACAAGCAGTGGTTTCTTTCCCTAAGTGATCTTGAGGCTTGTGACAAACAAAAATAAGACTTTCTTCCAAAAAGGGTAGTGTGGAGGATGCTTAGTAGCAAAGGGGTCATTAGACACCAGCCCTTCATTGTTGTGGGACCGTCACGGCCGGTGTTAGGCCTACCCAGGAGTTGGTGGGTCAGCCACAGCGACTGAACACCCCTGAGTCCAGGCAGAGAAGAACCAGAGGCCCAGGTCAGGGCTGGGATGTGACTCAGAGATCACGAGGCTGCCCGGCACTACAAGGCTCTGGGCCAATTCCCAGCATCACAAAAAACAGACCCCGCCGACCCCAGAAGGACAGGATTGTAACTGAGGAGGTAGGACAGAGGACCAAGGAAGATCTTTAAAATGTCCATATAAAGTCCACGGACTAAGGAATGTGGACGGCGGCTCCCGGGGCAGAGCTAAGCCCCTCCAGAGTTGGCTTCATAGTCTGTCTTCCAAGGAGCAGGGCGCGGTGCTGTGGGTGGAAACAGGTGGTGTCTTCGGAGGAAGCGGGGAGGACACGGTACCTGGACAGGGGCCTTGCCAGGGGCTGGGGCTGGGCAGATGGCTGGGACTTGCTCTCAACGGGGCCTAAATTCCTGTGGAGTTTGTCTCTGTGCCTCTGCCAGGGTCACCACGGGGTGCAGCTGACCTTCTTTCCTGCTCTAGGCCTGAGGAGGCTATGAAGACTGTGAGCGAGCAGGTGTCTCAGGAAATCCACCAAAGCCTCAAGACCATGGGCCTGGCTGCGCTGAGCAGTGAGAACACGTCCTCTCTGACAGGGCAGCTCGAGAACATCGCCAAGAAGGAGAACTGCGTCCGCAGCGTCATCGGTGAGTGTCCCAGAGGGAGTGTCCCAGCCCAGAGTGTCACTCACTGAACCACAACGATTACAGACCGGGTCAAAAATACGTCCCTTTGCAGTTCAAGGACTGACTATCTTCTAAGGAAGATTTGCCCCCAGGGATTCATGAGCCTTTGGGTGTGGGATATTGTCCAAACTGGACACGTCACCCTGGCCCACTGGGTGGTCTCTCACTGTAACCTGAGACCCTTGGCATCCCCCAGTAGGGACACACACACCCACACCCCTGCTGGGCTGGGGTGCYGCTCAGTAGGACAGTCTGCCTAGTGTGCATCAGGCCTGAGTTCCATCCCCAGYGCCACAAAAACAAAACCACAGTGTGGCTGAACAGGCTGAAGCCCATGTCCCCAGGATGAGGAATTGCCCTGTCCGCCTGTGGGAATGGAGACCCTGGACTCGGGCAGCTGAGATCCCCCTGCAGGCCAGATACTCAGTAGGATGGACTGACAGCTACTCAGGCCTTCCTGAACGCTCAGAAACCGACAGACCCTTAAGTGCTGCACAACCTCMGCAAGGCCACCTTCCCTTTCTGTGGGGAGTGGGCGGTGAGTGGAGTGCAGGACCAGTGCTTCTCCCTGAAATCTGCCCTTTCCGCCCTCTCTCTCTTCCTGCTCACAGATCAGCGGATCCACTTGTTTCTCAAGTGCTGTTTGGTTCTTGGAGTGCAGCGATCTCTGTTGGACCTTCCCGGAGGCCTCACCCTCATTGAGGCAGAGCTGGCGGAACTGGGCCAGAAGTTTGTGAACCTGACACATCACAACCAGCAGGTGTTCGGCCCCTACTACACRGAGATCCTCAAGACCCTCGTCTCCCCCACTCAGGCCCTGAGCGCCAAAGTGGAATCTCTCTGATAGCACCAGCTCAGAGCCCTGGCATAGTGGACTCAGGAGAAGGCCATCATCTTCCTGGGTCACGTCACCTTGACTGGCAGGGCAGCGAGGCCCGACCCCCACAGCCAGTGTGCCAGGGCTGAAGGGACTAGCACGTGAATGCCAACGGGTCCAAACCCATTCACCAATGAACATCCAAACTGCAAAGTAAAAGAAAAGAAAAACAAAAYAAAAACACCCCTCCACTCTTCCTGTGCTTCAGCTGAGGTCAGGCCCCGGCCCTCAGCCCAGAGCTAGCTGAGAAGTCAACAGGCCCCATGTCCCCRTCTTTGGCCTTAGGTCCCCTTTAAGCCTGTGCAGCTGAGCATCCAAGACACTAGGTCCTAGCATTAGTTTCTCTTAAGGGTGAAGCATTTCTCTGAGAACTCCCATGGAATTATCCAAGATGTGAGTCTAAGGACTCGTCGGGACGCCTTTGTTTTGTCCAGTTCAGGTGGGCAGAGGGCGTGCTTGGAAGCAGTTAGGAAGCTCATGGTCAGGACTAGATTCCCCTGAAGGTTTCAGATGATCCCCGAAGTAAAGGAACAGGAAAAGCCTCAGCTTCGTCTTGAGTCGCAGTTGCAGACTGGCAKCTGGATGCCCATGGGCGCTGGGGACAGGGCTCAGCACTCACCGGTCCTCCCAGGCTGTCGGGGTTCAGCTGGGGCCTTTAGGTCAGTTTTCCTGGTCCTGTTCTCTAGCCCAGTGAGTCTCCTGCTCCRTCTCTGAGCTTTGAACACCTCTTCTTCAGACAGAGGGATGATTGTGCTCAGGGGGGGCTTCCCTCCACTCCCCTCTCTGCTCTGGGAGGGGCTCCTTGTCACTGATAGAYACCGGTCGGGAAGGTTCTAGGAAAGACCTGCTTCTCTTGGACTGTAGGTTTCCAACCCACGGTTTTCAGGCCAACTGAACAGAGCAGCCCCAGCAGAGTGTGGTTGAGATGAGGCAGGTGTGATCCAGATGTGATCTCTTTGTAGTGGACAAGAGAACATGAAGGTGCACTAGGGGGCCTTCTCAAGGGGCGGGAAGATCAGCAGCACTCGCCATTCAAGAGATGGAGGCCGGTGTGACGCTCTGAACRTAGCAGTGGCAACACGGAGGGATTCTAGACGGATTCAACACAGAGGAGTTCCAGATCTAGGACTCTCCCCTAATGGAGGCCCTTTGCTAGAGGATAGAGGCTGGGGGTGACCAGAAAGCTGGGGGCGTGGATCATCCCAAGTTCCCAGTCTCCCACCTGCACAGCCTCAGGACAGGGGAGCCCAGAAAAGGTGAGGTGTTGAATAACAGTGAGGCCTGGTGAACTGGATTCTCTGACTTGCAACCATCTGATTTTTAAGCCATCCACATTTTGGAAGCCTCAGAGTCTTAGAGGCAGGGGTGCTCTTGAGGGATTCCTGGGGGGAAGAACTCGGGCTGTGGCGCGACGCCGGGCTGCGGTAGAACCTGACTTTGTACTCAATCATTAAAATCTGGAATAATCAACTGACTAGATATTTCGAATTGTTTTTTCTTGTGCTTCTACATGGAAGAGACAAGGATCCTGTCTCTAAGTCCATTCAATCCTCCTCACTGTTTTGAGGGGATTTAGTATTTTTTTGTATTTTAAATTGTAGATAGAACATGAAGTTTGCTGTCAGTGAATCGTTCACAATGGCATCCCGAGATCCTGGCTAAGACCAGAAYGTTTTCATCAGCACAAAAGGAAATTCCATTGGAAATTCCATTCTAGTGACAAGTGGCTCCGTCCTGCTCCCTCCTCGCCCTTGGTAACCACTGACCTGCTTTGTGTCTTGATGGGTTTTCTGACTCTGGATAGTTCACAGAGCCACGCTGGTTGAGCCCAGGGCCTTGGGCATGCTAAGGCAAGACCACCACAGAGCTGCATTTTATTCCCCAGCCTTTGCGTGTGTGCTCTGGGCAAGCGCTTTACCAACACTGAGCCACATCCCCATCTCCCCAGCCCTTTCTACAAAACTTATAAGACAGGGTCTCATTAAGTTGCTGAGGCTGGCCTCAAACTTGGGATCCTCTTGCCTCGGCCTCCTGAGTACCTGAAACTACGGGTGAGCACTGCTGTGTCCAGCTCATGGAGCTTTTCCTGACTGACTKCTGACTTCTTTCAGTTTTCAAGATTCATAATGTAGCATGTTTATCATGAAAAAGGTGTTTGAATGCTTTTTCCTGAATCAAGAAATGATCATGGGGTTTTCTTCATTGTATTCGTGTGACATGTTAGCATGATTTGATGTTCCTATGATGAATCACCCTTGCATTCATGGGGTAACACCACTTGAAAATGGTGTCTGGTGKTTTTTTTTTGGAGATGGGGGTGTTGCTATGTTGTTTAGACTGGCCTCCAACTTCTGGGCTGAAGCCATCCTCCTGTCCTAGCTTCCTAATTGGACTGTAGGTGTCTGCCACCGTGTCTGACAATAGAATCCTTTAAGTATGCTGTTGGATTCAGTTTGCTAGTATTTTATTGAGGATTTTTGTGTTTTCCTGAAGGATATCATGTTGTAGCTTTCTTGTGTGCCTTCGCCTGGCTTGGAGTTAGGGTGATGCTGGCCTCCTGCCAGAGCTCAGAAGTGTTCTCTCTCCCTTTCTTTCTCGTTAAACAAGAATGGTGTTAGTCTTTCTTTAAATGCTTGCTAGACTTCAGTAAACCAGTGAAGCCATCTGGTTGCAGAAGTTTCCTTGTTAAAAGCTTTTAATTGCTAAACTCTGTATTCAATTTTTTTTTCTTAAAATCAGTTTTGGTCATTTGAATGTCCCTGGGACTTGATCCATTTCATGTAGGTCATCTACTTTGTTGACATACAGTTGTTCATGGTGTGGGTTTGTTTTTTTTTTTTTTTGTAATTCTTTTTGTTTGTTTCTGGGGGATTGGTAGTAAACTGCCCCCACCCTGCATTTCTGATTTTAATCACTGTATATTTTTGTTATTTTCAGTTGTTAGCAATAACTGCTAAGAAAACAATTAATAGAAATTGTAATAAAGGTTTGTGAATGTGGTCTCTCTAAAAGTATTTCCTTGTCCTCTCTCTTCTTGTTCTTGTGGTGAGGTGGAGTGAGGTACGGGATGTGGAGTTGTTATTGACATTCTTATGATCTGTCAGCAGGACCCTCTGTTTGATCGTGGCGCGTTGAGGGTCTGTGCAGGCAAGGTTGACAACTGGAGCTCCTCAGTCGTTGAGGGCTTTTTCTGTCACTTGTAGTAAACAACTTGATGTCACTAATTGGAATTTCTCCTCATTGGAAGTTGTTTTGGTTTGCTGTGTGCTTCGGATGGAGCGCAGGGCCTCCCGTGTGCTCTGCCACTGGGCCACTGATGAATGTCGTTCATCAGCAGGAGAGAAGACCTTCTAGAACTGCAGTGGGTCTAGATCAATCACTGATTATGAGTGCACTACCACTGCGCCCCCTTTTAACTCATCCAAGTACGGCCTCAGAGTTTCCATCCTCGGGTGATCATATGGGTGATTCCATGCTACCTTCCATCTGAGGACTGTACTCTGTAACTTTGTCTTTTGATGCAATTTGAAACACTTCAGCAAATTTCAGGAATGTCCACATCGAGGTTCTGCTTGTCTCTTCACCTTCCTCTTCCTCTGTAAATGACTAAACAAGTCCTTCCTGTTCCTTTCTTGTCGATACTTTTCAAGGCTCATGATATGTTCTTCCAGTTCTTCAAGCATGTTGTCAAATCCTCCTCCAACAGCTTCTCTGGCTGCCTGGGTGTTATCTCTCACTTTTGTATCAATCTCTGGGAAAGCTGTGAAGTCACTCTTGATTCAATCTATATATTCTTCCTGCAGGTCTTTGCAGTCTCTGGTTTTAATTCATCCATTGCAACTTTGAAGAACATTATTGCATCAGCAGGAGAGAAGACTTTCTAGAACTGCCTCACGTCCAGATTAGGGTCTGCATCAATTACTGGTTATGAGTTAAAAAAGAAAAAACAGGCAGAGGGATGTGATGTGGCCTTGGAAAACAGAATAATTGCCCTGGCCACGGGGCTGAGGCAACGAGGTTGTATTTGAACCATTGGAATAACAACCTTRATATTGTCTTTTTTTTTTTTAATCTTTATTTTTATGTGGTGCTGAGGATCGAACCCAGGGCCTCGCACGTGCTGAACRAGCACTCTACCGCTGAGCCACAATCCCAGCCCAATATTGTCTTTTTTTATAGCAAACAGATCTAGAAGGGCCAGCGGCATTGTCTTGTGATCGTAGGACTTGAAATTCCAGCCCAGTTACTCCTGGGATAAAGTGCTCCATCAGCAAGATGACTGTCACTTGTGCTTCCTCAGCAGGTTGCCAGAACCTGGGCAGGTAAATCCTGCCTTTGGGGAGTATACATGTCCCCTTCTGCTTGACCCCTGGCTTTAACGTGCCCTGTGGCATTGCCATGCAGAGTCCCTCTGTCCTGCTGCGTCCCCTGCTCTGGTGCGTCCTTTGCTCTTGTATGCAGGTGGGTGCCAGTGAGCGCCTCTCCCAGGAGAGCCAGGTTCCCTCTCTGATGACCCTGTGTTCTACCCTTTCTCCTCACTTCAACCCTCCTGGAAATGTGCCAAACACAGCCTTGGCACTAATTTTTGTATTTTTCAGCCCACGGCTGTTCTGGAATCTGTGTAATCATCCCTCAGTCATAGTAAATGGCTTGATGTCACTTGTTGCCGCGTGTCCCTGGCTGAGGCTTTTGTGTAGCTCCAGCACTGTAGGGCACAGTGTGRCCAACGGTCGTGGCACATTTTCTCTTCTTGTCTTCCTGCAAATTTGATGCCTTTTCCATCACAACTAAGTTACCGTACCYGGTGGCCATGACTTTTGTACATATGACAGCAGAAGTAGCTGGATTTCTTTTCCCTTCATCATCCATCTACAGATGAATCTCACTGTAGATTTCAGCAACTCAGCACCATGTTTTTTCCTTTATCGAGTCAAGAGTGTTCACTTTTCACTTACRGGTGGCACTTG